GTGCGTGTGTGTTCATCTTTATGTGTGTGTGTAATAGCGGCGGTCAGACAGACAGAGATGAAGGTTATTTGAGGTCATTGTGTGTGAATCTACGAGCTCCACACAGAAAACAGTTTTCTGAGTTAATGTAAAAGAGGAGAGTGTGTGTGTGTAGATCAATGGAGTCTATTTTTTTCATGGCCTCTTTGAGCAATGATGAAATACGCTGTAAGATACAGCTCAAGTATAGTAACGCAGCGCCTCAGAACAGTGGCACAGTTATAAAGACAGACGCCGCGGGAATTACACGCAAACCACTGCAGTCCGAACGCCAGAGAACGAGAACACAAGCACAAACAAACCATTTATATGCTTACATGAACATATATGAGCTATTCTGAATGGTTGCTGTTTGGTTGTAAAGTGGTTGTAGATGCACGTCTGTTAGCTGTTTTATGCTGCAGCAGGTGGAAATTAGTGTTTTTTTAATTTAGTCTTTGTCTTGTGTAATGTCCTTTTTAGTTTTTAACCTGTCCTGTTTAAGTCTAGTTTTAGTCACAGTGGTGAATGTGATAATCACAGTTATTTTGCTCACAATTACTGATGATGATTATTGTTATTTGAGAAATTACATCAGAATTAATGCACTTTGGTGATTCATACACTTGCTTTATTTGACCTCATGTAGTTTCCTGATTCATTATGTTATCAAAAATATAAACACAATCGCTACATTATGAAAACTTAAAAGCAAACACAGTGACATTTATAATATTAATTCCAAATTATATTCACATCTTTCTATTAAAACAACAACAAAAAGGTGTATGGACACAGAGGGACGTAAGTGCATTTTTTCAGCCTCACTCGCAAACAATAAAGTTGAGATCATGTTTGGATTTATTACAGTTCATCATGAGAAGGTTTGATGCCAGATTGAAAAGATAAATTAAACGCAGGGAAGAACGTGTGTCGTTTTAAGAGAGAAGCTCCGCAAACATAAACTTGTGGAGGTCAAGATTTTTTCTCCGTTTTGTAATGTTGAAGAAAATATAGAGAATTTTTGATATAGAGGGTTTTTATTTTTAAACATTTTAGTCTCGTCTTTCTTCATCAACGATATTGGATGTTGATACAGTTAGTGTTTAATGACGTCTAGTCTTAGTCATGGAAAAAAGGTCAACAGATGTTTTTGGTTAACAAAATTAACACTAGTGAAAATGCCCAATATCATGCATGATTTAAGGAATCACTCGTGTGTGTGTGTGTGTGAGAGTGTGTGTGTGTGTGTGTGTGTGTGTGTG